AAGTCCAGTGTGGTAGTCCTACTTGTTGTTCTGCTTCCCCCTCTCAGAATCCGGAACTCCACCATCTCGTGGTCACTGCAGCCAAGCCTGCCCCCTACCTTCACATCCTCAACCAATTCTTCTTTATTTGCCAGCACAAGATCCAGTAGCGCTCCATTTCTTGTTGGCTCCTCCACCACCTGGGTCAGAAAGTTATCATCGATGTTTTTCAGGAACCTCCTGGACTGTGCGCACCTTGCCGTGTGGTCCTTCCAGTTGATATCCGGATAGTTGAAGTCTCCCATGAGAACCAGGGCCTGCGATTGTGAGGCTACATTTAGCTGTCAGAAGTGGGGACAAAGGTTGGGTGTGGCAGAGTAGAGGCACGGGATGGTAAGAGACAGGGCACAGCTTGGCACCCCAAGGCTCTGAATAGCTCACAAAAGGCCAGGTTAGACTTGGAGCTAATAAAAACTGGGTTTAGGGGTAATACAAAGAAGAAGTATCTAATATATTTAAAACACACTTAACATATCTAATTCGGAACTTGTAGACCATCAAAAAAGGGCAAAGCATAAAAGCATGCTAGCAAACCTAAAAATTACCCCAAGCAGATCCTGTAAGGAGGAAATCATCAGCACCAACATCTTATTCCTCCCAGTGAATGACTTGAGATACTGATAACATGCTGCTATGTCCCTCCAAAACACACCAGACTGAAACCATTGACTTTAGGATACAAATGGGCAGCGGAAGGGTGAGCATAACACCAGAAAAAGGGGTAAACAAGAGAAAGTCTGTGTCTAAAACCTGTAATTATATATTATAGATTATTTGTATTACTTAGATATTCTGTATTATTTATATATTTATAATGATTCTTTATATATTATGTATTTATTTTCTTTCTCTTTCTACAATAATTTGTTCTGGACTCACAAAAATTCTTTGATTGGACTTTTAAAATTTCAATTATACTACTAATAAAATTCTGGCTTTACATACAGCGTGTGTTTACTTTTCATCCATAAGATAATTTTGAACAAAACATGTTAGACCTGCGAATATGCAATTTTAATAGTGAAAAGATCTGTGAAGTATTAGCCTGCAGTGAGTTATAGACTTCTCACAAGTAACATTTATATAGATTACCAATGCAAGAGGGAGGAGATGACCATTCTCCATCAACACATTCTATTTCCTTTGGTCCAACCAATTTAAATTCAGTGTTGCATTCATATTGCTTTCTGTCTCCATGCCGATACTCTTCCACAAAGTCACCAGCAACAATTCCATTGGTAATCTCAGGTGGAGGTCCACAGCCTCTGGCATTCACTGAAATCAAGACATCAAACCTATGCTCTGAACTCAGTATTTTTAGCACAGTTATATGTTAACTGCAAGACAAAATAAATTGAATTTGTTGTTTAAAGCTAAGAAAAATCAGTAGAACAGGTTAAACAGGTCACTGGTTTATGCCTTTGAATATCTGGATTCGTGTTGGGCTGGAGATCACAAACAGATATGCGTGACCCTGGCTCACTCTACTCTCTTACTTCCATGCGCTGTCAATTTCCTGCTATGATAAAAGCAGTGGTTGATAAAACCAACCCAGTTTTAAGAGGAAAAAATGTTAGATGGAATGACAACTTCAGTATTCTTAAAAAAAAAAAAGTGAAATTCTGCAAGTAATAACAACCTACATTATAAAAATCACCCAGCAAGTGATATGTAATGTATATTAAAAGAGTTCACTTCTGATGGAGCGAATGGAACTCCTGTTAAGGGAGCTTAAAATGTTCCTGAGCTAAAGAACCAACTATATGAAATATACTTGGTCTTAAATGCAAAAGAGAGTGAGCAAAAAGAAGGATGAGAGCATGGAAGACAACAAGGAAATGGATCAAGTGGGAAGGAAGGGAGATAAGAAATATGAGATCCCTTCATCTTCTCAAGATGCCTCATGAAAGGACATAGCACCAGCAAAATAAACTCTTTTCAGATGCCACTAAGTTGTGCTCTGTCTTAAAAAGGATGAGAAGAATAAGGGTATATATCTTTTCTGCATGAGCTTGTTCATCAATTTCACAGGGAAAACCCTTCACTGAGTTTCTTTTGCTTGGGTCTAGCACTGTGTGATCTCCAAACCCATTTTTTTTCTTCAATATAATGTGATCAGAAAAAGGAACACAGGGTACAACATCTGATGGGCATCAACATTAAGCAGTAGCAAAACATTAGTGGACATAGATAGAATGAGAGAGGACATTACTCAAATTAACCAGTCCTGGCTGCCATAGTGCATATTATTTATGCCTTTTTGAATAATAAATAATTTTTCATACATTACAGTCAATAACCCCAGTGAAATTTTGCGCAAGCCACTTACCAGCTCACTTTCAGTTATTGCAGAACTCCAATCCACATAACTAAAGCTAGCAGAAAGTTCAACACTGAAAGTTCAGCTCTTCATAATCTTTCACATAAAATAGCAAAACACTATGAAATGACCTGAAGAGGATGGGTTCCTGCCCTTTTAGAGACAAAGATGGGATAATTGTTCTTGGGAGCAAGACTGGCTTATAGAAGGTGTCCACAGAAGTCTTCAGGACCCAGGCATTTTCATATCTTTCCTACTACAATAAAGTTAACGGAATTACCTTTACACACTGGTGGTGATGGAAACCATCCAAAGTAGTAGCACTGAGTAGAGGCAGGGCCCACTCTCACGTAATTGTTTGCGCAGGTAAATTTCACAACATCTCCACTGCGGTATTTACCCTTCTTGGGAGAAAAATCTCCATGGTGCAATATCAGCGTTTCACATTCTATTGCTATAAAGATAAAATATTTTAACATACAGTGTACAGCCTACAAAAAGTATATGAACTACTAATGATTAGAACAAATGCAAAGAAAGTCTTAAAGAAAAAAGCTTCACAAAGTATATACAGAGTTACACCAATTAGCAAACACAACAATATTCACCAAGACACTGGGGCGTTGGACTCCATTCACCATTTAGGCCACACCTTGCGCTACCAATTGTTAAATTATTTTCAGTCTGATATCCCTCCAAACATGCATACTCAAGTGTATCTTCAGGCATGAACACAGTTTTATTTGCGTGGTAAGTCAAAATGTCCAAATGAGTTGTTCTACATGATTCTGTAGAATAAAACAAAGTTAGAGCATTTTGTGATCCAGAAACACTGTCCTTTGGAACCATCATTTCTGTACGGGTTTTAGTGCATGCTAGTATACTGAACTACTCAGTACATTTGAAACATTAAAAATTCTGCGTTGCCAGAATATGAATGTAGAATATCAGATGTAGCATATGGACATAATGTCTACTGAATTAATCTTCAGAACTATGTGTATAGAAGTAATATCTAGCATAAATATTTCTTCCTTAGATTCAATTCCTTTCCCTTCTACTACATATTATTATTAGTGGTGTCATAGCAAATAGTTGGTACTCCTGTATCCCATGGTCACTTGTGAGGGGGTCAGAAAAAAAGGTGAAAAATCCTAAATAAAGGCAGCCAGAAGTAAAAGGACAAGATAAAATATCAGCAAAAGCTGGTCAGTGCTATAAGACTCGGTATCATAACACTGGAAGATTAAGTCTTTTCTTTTACTATCCTACACCCCTGTGCAGGAGACGAAGGAACTTCTATGAGGAAAAAAGCAACAATAGTTTGGAGGTGTTTTCAGGAAAAAGCACTCTGGTGTTTTTTTCAAAAATGTACTTTCTAACACCAGGGTAGACATATGCATAGTGCTTTTTATGCATCTTTCCAAACAATGAACCCCATTTTGCTCTAGTTTGGACACATTTAAAGAAAGTTCTTGGCAGAATTCCTTTGTTCACAGGCATTTCTTCATAAATCCTCCCTCACAAGTATGAAAGGTGCAAGAATTGGGAGTAAATTTAGGAATATGTACCTTGTTCCAGGAAAGAATCACCGGAGAGATAAATGATTATCATCTACTTTGTGCTAGAGGTCCAAAAAGATATGTTACCTAGAAGATAGTAGATATCTTTCTGCCTTCCTTACTTCCTTTATGTTTTCTCTATATATTTCTTAGAGCCCCAGAACGCTTAATCTCTGCGGAATCAGCCCTCTATTTGAGTCAACCTCTGCCCAGTAAGAAAACTCTACCAATCTAGATGACAAAAATCTGAGTACGTAGGGCATGGTGTCTGCATCAGTGACAATAACTGACAAGCACTGAAGCCTCTATGCTACTCACTGATACACTTTGGAGGTGGAGTCCAGCCATCCTCTTGACACTGTATCTCTCTTGTTTCTTGTCCTTCTGGAGTTACAAAGCCATTACGACAACCATAGGTGACCTTCTCCTGTAAACTAAATGTTTTCTTTTCCAAGGTGAAATAACCATTGTCAACATTGATATTCTGGCATCTTTCTGAAAGAGAGAATTGCTTCCAAGTAAGACACTGATAAACTACATGCTTATAACATATAGAAGAAGGAGGACAAATGAAACAGCAGTAGGATTCACAACATTTTAAAGAGCGTATGAACTTTTCTTCTGCATTGAACTCTTTCCCAGGGGAAGTGAAAATCT